GACCTGGACAAAATATCCCAAACTCCTTTTTAGCGACTGACAACCCTCTAAAAATGGCAATCGTTTTTTCACAGGATGGCAGAAAGAAATATATTCATGTGCAGTGGATTAAACAATAGACTGTCCCAAATGCCGGTCACTTTTCCTCCCAGAGGTTTCAGATAATATGACAACTGGAAATGAAGATATGTTTCAAATGACTGAATCCAAGCATAAATCCGAAATGAACGAAGGAATGACTTCTCCAGGTAAATTCTCCAGAAACTAAAGCTGAATTGAAATACTGCAAAGTCATGAAGGTGGATGCTGGCAGACTAATATGGCTGGTGTCACATGTTTACATAAATGAATAGATGTGATCATTTCTCTACACTGCAAAAAACTCCTTCCATTGGCAAATCATATTATTTACCTGCTCAAATCAAGGGTAAATACCCTTAATTTAAGACATTTTTACTACTTTTGAGATCGTTTTTGCAGTGTATAAGTCTGGAGCACTGCTGCAGCTCACCATTGTGAGAAAATTTCTGCCAGGTTCATGGTTAGATTGAGATCTAATACATGCATTTAACTCACTATAAGAGAAAAAATAAGAATTATCTTTTGCTCCCCTGTGTGAAGGAAAACTAAGAGCAGCTTGCGATTTTAAAAGTGACGTAAATGCAAACCTTATGTCAGTGAGCTTAGTGCTGTGCAGATGATTTATTTTTCCAGTCTGTCACAAAAGATGTCTTCAGACTTTCTTTAAAATGCCTTCATGACATTTTATTCTAAATAAACTTACCTTCCAAATTAGCACAGAAACTGGACTTATTTGACAAAAAAAAAAGTCAGTTGAACACTGCTGCTAAAAAATAAATAAATAAACCAGTAAGGTCTTTGTTGTGAAAACGTGTTTTATAAATTGATCTAGTTAAAAACAAACGTGAAAATGGTGTCAGTGATTCTTAACCCCTCAAAGCTTTTCTGAGCTTCCACTGCTGTGAAAGTTTGGTTGGGAAGGAAAAACCTGCTCAACTCTTTACAACGACCTGAAACTTTCTGTGTTTACCAGCCCCAATATTCCCTGTCCTTCTGATGCCAATTTCCTCCCCGTCCATGCCAGAGCGGTGTATTTACGAATTCAAGACTCATTTCTCTCTCATCTCTCATCCTGCCAAGGAAAGTTAGCCTCCTGCGTCACAGCAGCCTGTTACTTCCACATCCAGTCCAACTCCAACACTGTTTGCTCTGACATGCATGAGCTAACTCCTGGCTGCTCCCACTCCTTTTCCTCTCATGAACGTTACTTCCTTCAATCCATACAATAAACAAGGACAGTACATAATGTACAGAGTGGTTTGTAACGCTCCGCAGGCTTAAAGAACAAGCAGTAATAGAAGTCTTTGTGTAAAATCTACTTAAAATGTCTATTTATGGCTCAAAAAGAATAGGAACTTTCCCTCCCTGACATTTGAGAGATCAGATTCACATTTTTCTTCCTAATATCTTTGCTGTTTTTTTTCCCTCATATTGTACCAAAAAAAGGCAGAATGTTCCAGCTGTTGCCGTAAAGAATAACTACAGCTGTTACTTCGTTTAAGTAAAGTACTGCTAATTAATCAGACGTTAAGCTATTAAAACGTCACCTGGGCTTTCTCAGAAAGTTTAACCATATCATGGTCTTGGTGTGTGTAATCCTCTGATTTCAAAAAATAAAATTTTTTACAAAAAATCTTAAATGTTTCTGGCACTTAGCAAATAATGATGACTTGGGTAAACCTAACTAACTTAAACACAAAAAATGTAATCTCATTCCATATCTGACATTGTTAAAAAAAAAAAAACAGAAAGGTTGTGCATCTTTCTTTGCAGTATTATAAGTATCCGGCTAATCTTTTTTCTCGGTACAAACGGTACAAAGTTGTTGCCCTGTAGTTCAAATTTCACAAGGAGAGGAAAGATACAAATATTAGCCAGTAAGGAGAGAAATCTGCTGTGAATGACTTTCCTTTAAATTTGTAAGAAGAAAATTCCAAACTTTAAATAAAAAACAGGTTTTCTGTACGGCTTCAACTATAGGCATATAGATCAATCTTTGGACAACACTGGGGTTATTTTGCCATAGGCCTATTTTCAGAAACAGAGCTGTCAAGTAACCGGAGTAATTATTTTTTAGACAACTTTTTACTTCCACTCCTTACATTTTTTTTTTTTTGTTGCAATTATCTCTACTTTCTACTCCTTACATTTAAAAAAAGAGGCTTGTGTTTTTGTTTAAGCTCACTTTTGTTTAAGCTCACTATTATTATGGCCTGTTAGTATTTAAAAAAATTTAAACCCATAAAAATAATTTGTTTTATCTTTTTTTTTTTTTTTTTGAATAATAAAAAAATATATAAAAAATATTTAAAAAAAAATAAAATAAAAATAATAAAAAAAATAATAAAAAAAATAATAAAAAAATAATAATAAATAAAAAAAAACTAATAAAAAATTAAAAAATAAATAAATAAAATAATAATAATTTGTTTTATCCACACAATTAATTTTTATTGTGGTTGGGCTCAGTAGTGCGCCAACTTCTGGTTCGCCACATACCGAAATAGATATTTTCAAGATGATGCTAAATCTGACATTGTTACCATTAGATATAAAACTAAGAAAATCAAGTATATGGAAGTTATCATCCAGAAGTGTAGAATTTTTTTCCTTTAAATGGTAGTGCAGCAAAGCTTCCATCTAACATTTTTTTAATGCATTACTTTTACATAGTAATTAGTTTTAAATATTGTACTTCTACTTGAGTAAAAAGCTTAAGCTGATACTCTAACTTCTACAAAATTGTTTCTAAACAGTAGGATTTACACTTCTACTTGAGTAATAAACATGAATACTTTTGACACTTCTGTTCATAAAGATAACAGAAATGACTGCCAACTTAATTGGTTGACCTATTAATAATAAACTTGGGAAAAACTGATTCTATTAAAGAAACTACTGTAGACTTTTATCATCTGAGAACAAAGCCGTTACATTAATCAACAATCTTGTGGTTTTTAATTCAGGTATTCCATGTGAATTGTGCATGCTGTCCTGGTCATTGCTGAGTTATAGCCAGGTACCCTGGCATGCAAAATATAACCCACGGAGTCTGGAGGGAGACTGAATAGGCACAGATGCTACATCGCTTAAGCTGTAAAGTGATTTGGGATGTCATATCAGCTATGACTGTTGGTTCATTGAGGCACTTTGGCACCGGCCCACACTGCCAAAGACACCAAAACACTCTGTGCTGCTGCTGTTTACTTGATCAGAACACTGACCTGATCTGAACCTGATAGAGGAACTACTGAGAACTGTCAATAGAAAAATAAGAAACACCAGATTAAACAATGAGACCTGAAGGGTCTGATCACTTCCCTGTTACTGTGCTCTGGATAAATGCATTTTCATGATCTTATAAAAAAAATTCAAATTCTCTAACAGAAATTCAGGTTTTCATTAAATGCAAGTTATGATCAAGAAAAGAAAAAAATATATATATATATCTATATATATATATATATAGATATATATATACACACACACACACCCAAAACCAGAAAAGTTGGCATGTTATGCAAATCGAAAATAAAAACAGAATACAATGACTTGAAAATGTTTTTGAACCCATATTCAGCTGAATACAATGCAAAGACAATATATTTAATGTTCGATCTGAGAAACTTCATTTTGTTTTGCAAATAACCATTAACTCAGAATTTAATGGCAGCAACACATTGTAAAAAAGTTGGCGCAAGGGCATTTTTACCACTGTGTTACATCGCCTTTCCTTCTAACAACACTCAGTAAACGTTTGGGAACTGAGGAGACCAATTTTTTAAGCTTTTCAGGTGGAATTCTTCCCCATTCTTGCTTGAGAGCACTGTTGAACAGCTTAAGCTGTTCAACAGTATCTGTTGTCGTATTATACAATTCATAATGCGCAACACATTTTCAATGGGGGACAGGTCTGAACTCCAGGCAGGCCAGGGGAGTAGCCGCACTCATTTGCTATGAAGCCACGCTATTGTACAGTAACACATGCAGAATGTGGCTTGGCATTGTCTTGCTGAAATAAGCAGAGGCGTCCATGAAAAAGACGTCGCTTGGATGGCAGCATATGTTGCTCCAAAACCTCTATGTACCTTTCAGCATTAATGGTGCCTTCACAGATGTGTAAGTTACCCATGCCTTGGGCACTAATGCACCCCCATACCATCACAGATGCTGACTTTTTAACTTTGCGCCTATAACAGTCTGGATGGTTCTTGTCCTCTTTGGTCCAGACGTCCACAGTTTCCAAAAACAATTTGAAATGTGGACTCATCAGACCACAGAACACTTTTCCACTTTGCATTAGTCCATCTTAGATGAGCTCAGGCCCTGCAAAGCAAAGTATTCCTGAGCCCATGTGGTGAAATCCTTTACACACTGATGTCGGTTGTTGATGCAGTACCTACCACCTGAGGGATCGAAGGTCACAGGCATTCAATGTTGGTTTTCGGCCTTGCCCCTTACATGTAGTGATTTCTCCAGATTCTCTGAACCTTTTGATGATATTACGGACCGTAGATGGTGAAATTCCTAAATTCCTTGCAATAGCTTGTTGGGAAATGTTGTTCTTAAACTGTTCAACAATCCTTGTTCGTGAACGACTGAGCATTTCAAGGAAGCTGCTTTTATACCCAATCATGGCACCCACCTGTTCCCAATTAGCATGTTCACCTGTGGGATATTCCAAATAAGTGTTTGATGAGCATTCCTCAAATTTCTCAGTCTTCTTTGTCACTTGTGCCAGTTTTTTTGAAACATGTTGCAGGCATCAAATTCCAAATGAGCTAATATTTGCAAAAAATAACAAAGTTTACCTGTTTGAACGTTAAGTATGTTGTCTTTGCAGTGTATTCAGTTGAATATAGGTTAAAAAAAAAAGGATTTGCAAGTCATTGTATTCTGTTTTTATTTACGATTTACACAACGTGCCAACTTTTCTGGTTTTGGGTTTTGTATATTCCTGTCCTGGGTGAAAATAACCTTTAAACCCTTTTCACAATTTTTTTAATTTATCCCTATGTACATCGCTTGCATCTATTAAAAGACAACCAGTGCTTTTTTTCTGTTCTGTAATTTATTCAGTATTGTAATCTGAACTTAAACCTGCAAATAGAAATCATATAATTGAAAAGATGTACAGGCGCGTCGTATGTACGTAGGTTACAATAAACCACACACACGTATAAAAACGCATCTCATAGAATGACTAATCCGTTACCAGGTGAATTATGTACAAGATAGACAGTATGTACATTGTTTGATTGACAAAAAAGAACAACATTCTTTTAAAAACCTTATCATTTGGGAAAAAAAAAAAACACAAATAACCTAACAATCAAATCTGTCCCCTAATGTCTGGAGTGTTAGGCAGCTTTTTATTTAGATTTAATAAGCTCATTTTAGGTTAATGTGCTTCTTATGCATTCTCTACTGTATATGAATTTAGTAGCTGAATTTTTCTTCTGGAATATAACAGAGATTAGATTATAATTTGAATTTGATTTGTGTGTATTATCCATTTAAAACTGATGGGGAGAAGAACTACAAGGATAATTAATCTCCATACTGCATTACTGCAATGAGACATCTCTAATATTAAAAACTAATTTTTAATTTGAAGGGAAACTCTGACAAAAGTTGTGGTTGAGTCAATAAAAAAACAAAACCGTATCATCGAAATTAGACAAACCATTCACTGAATCCACAATGAAATTATCAAAAATAAGGCAGACTCATTTCATGGTGGGTCAAAGAAGGTGAGCAAAGAGGATTATTACAGATAAGAGGAATCGTGTTTCTCTATGTCAGCGATGAGAAGAAGGTTTTATTTTTTCACGGCTCCCCAGATGACAAGTCCTATTACAACAGCAGCAACAGCCAACACGATCATCAGGATGCATATCTTCTTACGGGAGCTCCGCTAAGAAAAAATAACAAAACAAATTTGATCTTAAATGGGATTATATCAAACAAATAATTAGGTTTAGTCTTTAAGGCAGGAATCAAAGATAAAGATCATCATCTAGATATGAAAAGTAATAACATTGAATTCCCTACTTTTCAAGACTGCATAGGAACCCTGAGGAAAGGTGTACCACAATACTTATGAGTCAGGACACTGTGACTAAGCCTTATATATGAAATCGAGCTGACTAATAGTGTTTTGTGATGCAGGGCATGCTGTTAGGAAAGGAGAATCATGCTTCCGAATGGCTTTGTCATGATCAAACTTCTGCTTTCTTTAGTTAAACTTTCTTCTCCTGAATTTATTTCTGCTACATCTGTCCTTCAACTGTTTTATAGTTTACCTGATAGTCTGCTGCTCGTGCAAGCTGCTGTGTGCCAGACTGGACGTGGGTGTCTGCTCTCTCCACATTGGCTTCTATACTGTCTGAAAAGCATAGAAGTAACAGGTTTATACCATTTTCATAAATAATACAGAGTATAAGAGCTGGTCTCAATCATTACCAACGAACCATCTCTGCTCTTTACAAATACACTAAATTTCATTAGTGTAATACTAGTGTAATGCCTATTCAAACCATGTGACAATAACTTTTTAAATGTGACTTAAACTATTAGTGTTATTCTAAAACAAAATGTATTAATAATCCATAACGACAAGTTAAATGTGACACAAAAGAATTGAAAACCAAAGGGCCACCATTCCAGATGAGGGCCCCTATATATTTCACCATCCATCAACAATAGAAATTGTAGTAATAAGGGCATGTCATTTTCCAAAAGCATTGTTAGCAAGGATTTGGGTGTTGTTGTTTTTTTTTGTTGTTGTTTTTTTTAAGTTATCTGCAGGCTATGCCAGAAACAAATTGCTGCAAAACAAACTGGAACATTCTCTCTGAATCTACAGGAGTTACTCAGAAGTCCCAGATTTGGATCCAGGACATGGGAGAAGACCAAAAGGATCCCACTAGCCTCCAAGCTAAATCATCAAAGTCTAAATCCAAGCTATTTTTTTTTTCCTGAAATTTAGAGACTTCTCTGCCTTCCAAAACAAAAATCAACAGAGGTTACATGTCTGACAAAGTAAATGAAAAGAGTTTTCAGCTAAAAATACGTTTTTGAGAGTTTTTGAACATTTAAATTGTTTATTTTAGCCTAAAGCAAGCTACATTGTAGCCAACCCAATACTAACATGTTTGGAGCTGCTGCTGTTTATGAAGTTAGGACAAACTTTATTTCACTAAGGATTTTAACACTAACATGGTTTGAATATTTATGCATTTGCTAATATGCTCATTAACCTTTATTGCTAAAACCATAACCTATGAGCCCTTTAAGACAAACTACTACATTTAGTAGTAATGCTAAATGTAGTAGTTTAGCATTAATCAGTTGTATATTCCGCTCTAAGACATGATCTCCCCTCCGCTGAGGAGCAGCTGGAAGCTGCCTGTCAGCCTCTAGTGTCTATTGAGGTAAGCAGCAAGAAAGTAGAGCCCTGATTGGATAAGACACCAAAATATGTCACTTCCAGTGAAGCTAAAACTCTTAGGTGGTCTATGGAGCAGAGGGCGGGTTGTGAAACTGGCTGCTCGATGCAGATTGGCAAACATACTAAAGGGTTTTTGACAGACAGTGGCCAGACGGCGAGGAGGTTTTCCTCATGAGTCGAGAGGGAAAAGTGATCATTCAGTTGTTCTTCTAGTGATTTCTGGAGTTTACAATCAATATTTTTTAATCCAATATGTGACGTTTGGATTTAATTAGCACCATTGAGTCTCTCTTGTTTCAGAGAGCAGCAGCTTCCACTGCTGCTACCTATTATCTCCATTGTCTTAATAATCAAGAAGCTAAAAAAACTATCAATTATTCTTTGAATGAAAAATTACAAAAGGTTAAGAATCAAATAATGAAAAAGTTATTGGTTTCTGGTGAAGGAAATAGTTCAGTAAAGTATTATTTCATGAAAAAATGCTTTATATTTCACTTTGATTCATTTTGTGATTTGGTTTGAACAAATCCCATTAGTTAAAATGTAAATCCAACGTCTTCAAGGAAAACTTTCGTTCTCAAACATAAAATCTGTGCCATATGATATCATTGCATCATTATATTTATTAAGATTTTCAACCATTTTAATTTGTTTTTGTCTTTGTGTACAGAGTGACTTAGTTCAGTTTAGCTTTGTTTAGACTTTTTAACTGAAATACCCTCGACATGGAGCTGAACAATTTTTCTTACTAAATTCTTTTATTTTATTTTTTTGATATTTTTTCATTGATAAATGATTTTGATGATCATTCAAACCACCAAAAAAAGCACAAAACTGTACCTCCATTAGATCCAGGATGAAAAGCACATACTGTAGTACGAACTGAACTACAGCAATATTCCTACATTTTGATTGAAAGTTAGGATTTTTTTGTCATATGTGTGCAGAGTTTAATGTTTGACCTTGGTTTGATCTCAAATCATACTTTTATTTGTTGAACTAACACACAGCCAATAAATGATAGTCGGAAAGTTATTTAATCAAACAACATAAGTCACAAGAGCATTTTATTACATAATAGGATAGGTGGCTTACGTCAATAAACTAATGAGTTCTACTAACATTTCAGTCCCTAAACCTAAATTCTGTGGAAAATCTGAGGGCCTGCAGATGAGACTATTTTTCTGGCAGAACCGGTTATGTTATTATGTAAACCTTACTATTATCAGTAGAACTAGGACACGATATGCCATTTTTGAAATCTTTATATATAGTTAACCTAATTGTATCTTTAAAAAAAATCTCAAGTGGTTCTTTCTCTTGCACTCACAGTTATACTTGAACCTTGAAGATGAATGACAGAAGATAAACAGCAAAAAGAATGACTAACACTCACCTATCATGTCTCCCTGCTCATGAACCATCATGCCCAGGTCCTTAAAGATGTCATTTATGTCTGTGATGTCAGACTAAAAGTTTCAAAAGAACAGGAGGGATCAGGTGTTGCTCATATTTCCGACCAAAGAGTCACAGAACAGAAGAGTTATTCCAGCTTAATCTGTGGCTCCTACCTCCAGCTGCCTGATAGAAGACTCTCTCTCCTGGATCAGTCTCAGATCTTCTTCAGTGATGGCCTCAGTCTGTGCCTGCACCTGGGTATAACTTTATAAATGCATACAAAGAAATTTTACTTTAAATTTTCACTACTATAATAAAAGTAGAAGACGTAGCATTACTAAAATCTAAAACAAAAATCATTAAAAGCTTCTGACTCGACCTTTGAGGTACATCTCCAAAGCCATCATCAGGCTGACCTCCCTGTTGAAAGACAAAAGTGCAGATTTTACATCTTTTTTTTCTTAAGCCAAACAATGATTTAACAAGTACAAAGTTTATTATCTGTGTAAAACTTAATCTGATATACCCTTATTAAGTAACAGTGGTATCATCCCTAAAGAGCTATTTAAAGCAGAAAGTCACTGATTCTACTTGGATAAATGAACCAAATCTGTACAGAGACTTCTCTCTCTGGTGAGATAAGCAAAGCGGGAACAGAGTTGCTAAGCAAGTTGGCTCCCACAAGGAAATCCAACCCTAGATGCCTTATTGCATGATGCAAAGTGATATAAGAGCTGATGATAAACCTGGAAGATATAATACATCCGGTATTATATGCCATTATTAGAAAGGTTATTAGGGAATGTAGAAAAGCAGAAGTATTTTTGCTTCAAGCAGGATGGAATTGAGTAGATAGTCCCTGGAACTGTGAGTGGCCTCTGCATCTCCATCAGTTTTAGAGCTTACTGTGGAGAACAATACACCTCAGCAAAGTGGCAACGTCCTTTGGTATGATTTTACCAGCGCACAAAGACTTCACTTAGAAGAAATCAGGCACTTTTTCTATATTTTTAACCTGGTTTTTTTTCATCCAGAATGAACACTGAACAGTTTTGTCCTCTCCTCTATAGAAATATCTCTTCATTATTAAATATTGAGACACAAATTCTCGCTCACAGAGCAAAATATGCTTTTGACATTTGAACTGCAGGAAGAAAACCTTACATTTTTCCTTGGTATTCCAGTTACTTAATGTATAATTTGGGGGGGTAAGGGCATTTACTACAGCTTGAAGCCTTATCTCCAGGACTTGGGGCCAGTTACAGGTTTTATCTGCAAATTTTCAGCCACATTTCATGTAGAATTGACTACTGCAAAGGGACCAACAATAAAATCCCAAGACCCAGATCAATCTCATCACAAAGTTTCACATATGCCTAAAACATTCAGGACCTCCCACACCTCATCACATGTAGTGGACTCATTAGGGAGCATCCATGTTCCAGATGATTTTTTTATGTTGTGATCCATTTTGAAGCCAATGTAAAGAAGATCTAATTAAATCTTTTGACCGTTTCGATTAATTAAGTAATGTTTAATTGTATCAGTACAGAAAACCTCTCTGTGCTGCTTTGAGTGTGAGATTTTAAATGACTTGAACTGAATAAGAGGGGGATATTGTGAGGGGCATTCCGATTGTTTTGTTTTTTGCATACCCTCATCAAAAGCCTGGCAGTGCAAAGATGTGAAAAGGAGCATAAAATGGCAAACATTTATTTTGATATACAGTAGTTTTTTGTTTTTTTTTTTAACAATGCTATCTCTAGAGGAGAGGTTGGTCCACCAAGATTCTCTAAAACCCTGATGCTCCATCATCTCAGCTGGCCACCCAGTGAGAAGACCACCTACTTACCGATAGTCTTGAGCCGGCTCTGACTCGAGCCACAAACTCCCGCTCTCTGTCGGCCGCCTCCCGCTGCGTCTTCTGCAAGCTGTTTAGAGCAGCGGAGAAGTCGTTCAGAAGTCGCTCTTTCTGTAGCTTCCTTTGCCGCTAAAATCCCCCCATAAACAGATGAATATCAATACAGAATGAAGACACTGTCTCTGTTATTTATTACAGATAAAAGCAGATGGTGAAGAGGAATTCAGAAGCTTGATACCTGGTCTGGGCCAATTGGAAGAGAAGTGAAGACTTTCATCAGTTTATCAGTATCTTTTGCCAGCTGGTTACCCTGCTGCTGCTTCTGTTGACTGATGCACAAAAAGGATTCATATTCTCAAGATGTCTCTTTTTGTCGTGGTACTCTGGTAAACTATTAGGTCTAATATACTTCTAAGCTATTTTTTTGTTAAATATTCAGATAAGAAACTCCAACAAATCCTAAATAAACTCACAGATTCTGTCTGAGCTGGCTGCTGTCCTGGTCAGTACCCAGCAGGTGCACTGCTCTCTGCAGCTCTGAGGCTGTGCAAGAAGGAGGGGAAATACATTATGATTTATATAGAGAGTTTTAGCAAAGAGCCTGTTAACTAAATATTAGTACAGCTGATCACAATGTGTCTGCATTACTCAGAAGCGTGATCCTCTGGATGTTGGAGCTGATGTTCTGGACCAAAGCATTGGGATCCTCAGGAGTCCCAGCATAGTACGCCATGGTGAAAGCTGCAAAGGCACAGGCAGAGTTCATTCATTAAGTCATGCTGAGAGCCAATTATCATAGTGATCACACTCTTGTAATCTCATGACTAACACATGACAGTTGTTTAACATGTAGCCATATCTGTGCAATGCATTTCAGTGTCTATTCTGGTTTAATACCAGCTGTTACTTTAGATGTCGTAAGCATTTATTTGCAAGAAACTTATTAGATGAGGCTTCTACAAAGATATTAGTCTTATATGAACCACCCATGGAGGCTTTTGTGTTCTGTCAGCAGTAAAGATACCCATTGGAACAACAGTAGATATTCCTTGAGTATGTTAAAACTTTAATAAGTTGATTAAAAAAAAATAAAAAATAGTAATCAGTTTTCTTCAGCTAAATAAGCTCAAAGCACCACTACCCTTCCCCTACTTCTGACTGCAAAGTGGTGGTCAGCTGACTTAGAGGGGTTTACAAGATTGGGCTGATTGGAAGCATTTCCAGACATGGAAATCATAGTCCTGACTTAAAAACCAGGCCCACTGTTGGCAAGCTTTGGGCTGCATTTGGTGCTCTAAAACGGGCAAAAAGGTAAAAAGAAATCAGGTAATAATGTGCAGGCAGGGAAACCCCTGAAATGTGCAGGATAAGGTTTCTGAGGACCACTGCTTTATTCAGTAATTTCCTAAATTGACTAAAATCATTTATTCTTAATGTTTTATTAAATCTATTTGTAAAAAAAACAACATATAGTGTAATTTATGCTACAAAGGGAAGATTTGTTGTTTTTGGCTTCAGCTAAAAGGGATAGAATAGAATAGAAAATCTCTTCATTGTCCCACAATGGAGAAATTTTGGTATCTACAGCAGCAATAGAATTATAAAAAAAATGGTCACACAAATGCAGACCTTAGAAAAGTGTATAAGAATAACATAATAGTGAAGACTTAAAATATAAGTAATAAAATACTATACTGTAAAGTGTTTTAACAATATAAATACTGTGCACCTTTATACATAAGAAATACACCGCTATGGACATTTTTACAGTAATGGATTTTTTAAAATAGCAGCAAAATCAGAGATGTGCAAAATGACAACAGTTATCTAAATGAATAAGATAAAAACTGTGCAAAATCAGCATGAATAAAACAACTTATTGAGGTTGTTGGGAACAACCTCAATAAAGCAACATTGTGCAAGTTTTGACCCAAATATCAGATTCTAAAATAAAGAGAGAGACTATCTGTTACAGGTCTAGTGCCCCTAGTGGCTAAATGTGAAATAAGATCATGTTACAACATCTTGTGGTAAATATTTGCATAAAAACCAGGATAGACTGAAGCAGAGGTATTTTCCCCCATGGTAATCAAATTGTTATAATCTCATATTAACCTATGCCTAATCCACAGAATCCCAACTAGATGTCAGTGTAGATAACAATGGAAGTCTCATTTGAATGTTTTGGGCTACTAATGCTTGTTTCCTGTTACCTTCTATATGATACAAATTCTTAAAGGAAATTTGATAATCTTTACAACTTAAAAATAACAGTGTATCAGGCAAACATTTTATCATTGAAGTTGGCCAGCTGTCTTTTGATAAAATAGTCAGAGTAAGCACTTTCACAATGTCTTTTCGTTCATTAAACACGTTAACTTCTTCCTCTTTTTTTCCACCCAGCACATACCAGTACTCTAATTCACTACTGCTGTATATATTTGAAAAACAATGTCAGATAAAGATCAGAAAAACTGGAATGAACTCAACTGTGATGATATCGTAACTGCTTTATCTTCTGTTTGGGTAAAAACTACAGCTTCCTGCAATTATCCCATGGTGAAACCTGATCATTCCATCCAATCACCATTTTATTCTGTTCATTACCTAATTCACTCAGGTATGAAAATAAATATCTGCAACCTTGATAAACACTGATATCAGTATGAGCCAGAACAACAGCAGATTATTAACCCTTACAATTTCACTCAGTAAAAGGAACTTACTTTAAAATAAACAATCAAAACCTAGTTACATGTATTTAACCCTTTATAAGGCAAGTTATCGTTTTTGGAGCCCCCCCTGTCCCTCAGTGAGGTCTAGAAGCACAAGATCTATATCCAGCCATTCAGCAAAGATACTGCTACATGGCTGTACATCTTATTTTGGCATTTGACCAATTAGATGAGCCTTTGAATGATATATTACCTACTGTAAATTAAGTTGGAAAAAAGAATAACAAGTCAAAAAAAGGTAAAAAGCTAATTAAAAAGTTAGAAAGTAAAGCTAAAGGGTTAATAAGGCAAGTTGGTGTTTCTTGTTATTACATTAATATTAATTTTTGCATTCAAAATATAAATTTTTGGAATGTTATAAAGATAATAAGGTATTGTCCTGGATTCCAATAACACACTACAAAAAAATCTAAAAATTGGTGAAAATGTCCTAAAATAAGTGTATTTACCCTTAATTTGAGTAGGTGAATAAGTAAATCTCCCAGTGGAAGGAGCATTTTTATCCAATCAGATTATTTGATATTATGCACTTGAAATAGGAGACTGCACTTTTTTTCCCCTTATTTTAAATGTAAATGTTCTTATTCCAATTCCAATTGCAGTGTCCCACTTACCTGCTCAATTCAAGAAAAAATTCACTTATTTTAAGAGAAAATTACTTAATTTAGATATTATGTCTTTCACTGAGTGCCCTATAAAAGGTTTAAAATGGCAGCTAAACTAAACTAAAGGTAGATTAAAAATGCAGCCTGAATGGCGCCCATTGGAGAGGAGCTCCAAGAATTAAAACAAATATGAATTAGTTTTCAGTAGGCAGGGTTTGGCCAGGAGGAGTCATACTGTGGGCCAGCCATGCACACTTCCTGTAACTTAGAAGGACCGAACCAGCCTGTAAGGCCCCATCTACTACCCTGTCACAGCCTGTAAATGCATTTTATGATACTGATTTCCATAAAATGTCAGCTCTGTTGTTATTTGCGCCATATTTTGGCTCTTTCTGTCATGTGTCCCTATGGAAGCGACGGGAATGCGGAAATGACGCGAGGAGTTTCTCTGCTCAACTAAATAAAAAACATAATATATCATTAATTACCAGGTAGTTATGTCTAAACTATGTCAGTTAAAACAGCTGGTACGAACATGTAGCCAACAGCGAGTCAGCGAGTTGTAAAATCCCAGCAACCTGCGGGGTTTTTCGGATTTTTCCGCCGCAGTGAGCTGCGGTTATCTAAGCTCGCTCTACATCTAACGTGTGAAGCCCTGTCACTGTCAGGTTCGGTTCGGTCCCGGACGAGTTTCGCACTTTACCTTTGTTGAGGTTCTCAGCAGCAGAGTGTTTCCTGATTTCCAGCCACTCCCCAGTCACATGATGCCTGCTGCAGCTGTAGCTGCAGGCCGTCTGCCCGGCCTCAATGATCAAACACAAGGTTTCAGAGATCCGAAAACTACACAAGAGGTTTAGGGCCACTGGAAAAAAAAGTTAACTTATTTTAAAATTTTATTTCAGTATAATATGAGGGGAAAAGTCATAATTCTGACTTGAATCTCAGAATTTTGACTTTTTTTCCTTAGAATTCTGACTTGAATCTCAGAATTCTGACTTTTTTTCCTTAGAATTCTGACTTGAATCTCAGAATTCTGACCTTTTTTCTCAGAAT